ATGTATGTGTATTCTCCCGCCTGGGTGAGACGGGAAGGACCGAAGGAGTGTCGGTCTGTTACTGACTAAAAACCACCCCGTTCCTTCTCCTGCACTTCGAGCCGGAGCCCCCGTAACCCGTAAAGTTTTCCGCGGTAATAGGGATCAGAGTGTCAGATAGTTTGAACTCATCAGCAACAACCAAAAAGCCAATGAAACAACGCTGTTGCAGTAATTCTGAACAGTGTTGTAATAGTCACATTATAAACGGCAGGCACTATCATAAGGATACTAACTTCTGCCCGCGGCTTCGTCTCATGGGATAACAATAGCTTAGTGTGTTATTCCCGGGCCTGCGGACGACGAGCACGGGTGTTCGCCGCCTGACCAGAACTAGGCTCGTTCGCGCGCGCCTTAAGGAGCCGTCAGGCCGCCACAGATGGGGCCAACAGAGCTGATGCCCATACGGAGCCGCGAAAGACTTAACGGGTTGCCGGGGTTCCGGCTCGAATTGCAGGAGTAGGAATGGGGTGGTTTTTAGTCAGTAAGAGTCTGAGACTCCCTCTCGCCTCACCCGGGCGGGAGAAGTCATTTGATGAATTTCCCCACTCAAAAAAAAAGTATGTGTTATTCCAGACAATAATGTACAACTGTTCTAAATTTCAACTCGATCCCTTCAGCCGTTTTGACGAAATACAGAAACAGATGTACACATAAACTGACAGACTTTCACATTTATAATATTAGTAAGTAGGTAGTAAGATACAATTACTCACCAAAACAAATACTATAAATAATGTTACAATAACAATAAGTTACGAAATCGCCTCATCACCTAGCAAGCGGTCGTGACCTTGATTCTGACACACACTGCCAACAGTCGGACTGGTCGGACGATGTCCGAACGTGATAATAGACGCAAACGCAAAACTGCTGACATGATAAATTCCATTACCTACAACAATTCCGGTACCAAGGGCTGCATGTCCGAGCCCTAAAGATTGTAAAAATTGAGATTGTAAAGATGACATCGCAAAAATTGTTGGGCATCGACTGGGAAAGTCAATATCTGCTGACCCTAACGAATGAGGTGCAGACCTTACACAAAACGAACGAGGAACACCAATGGTCACGCCGTACATGCACTAAGCGCTTCAAAGTTAAAGTCAAAGTCAATCAATCAATAATTTCAATTAAACCATAATTCGGTACTTTTGAAATGTCAACAAATACAAAATAAATAATAGTCTGTCAGTCAGTCCGTCAGTGAAGTTAGGTGAAGCTAGGTGCTTATTCCAAAATGTAGATTCAAATGGAGAAGAACGAACAAGAAACTCCATTCGTTACTCTTTTTAAAAAAGTATGTTTTATAATGCCTCTTCGCATCAAGCTTCCTTGTGCGTACTGCTAAGGAGTGGCATTCTTTGCCAGAGTCTGTATTTCTTGAAGGGTGTCTTCGAGGCCCGAGTGAATAAGTTGCTTATGGGTCGACGTGTTCCATTGTAGACCGCATCACTGCTTACCATCAAGCGTAGGCCCATCAAAGACATAATAAAAATGCTAAACCACCACATTGTAACCACGCAGGAGATCAACAAAACCTCGGACATCAACATAGCCCATGGCCATACCTATGTATATCCGATTGTGAACGTATTGCTGAATACCACAGACAATTACAGACTTTATTGTATTCTAATAAATCGAAAAGTCAAAAAAATCCAATAACAAGTACAAGCCTTTGAGTAAAGCAAACGAATTTTACACTTACAGTCATTCAATTGAGAAAATTGCATTAAACTATATATAAAACACTCACCACAAAACGAAATAACAAATAGAAATAAAAACAACATTTTTTATATAAACTGTGTCCACAAAGAACTGTATCGGGTCACATCAGACTTTCAAATGAAGAGTTGATTAATTAAAATAAATAATAACAGTACGAATTCGACCTTGTACTAGTCCACAGTGACCGTTTAGGCCTAGTAAGAAGCATAATGCTTGCACCGCGCACTGGTGAATGAGGCAACGTAAATAAACGATTTATTACACATATTAAAAAGTAACAGATATTATAACTTTTGCTAGCTGTGACGTCAATAGGCAGCGCCGACTGTAGTTAGACACAGGGCGTAAAATTAAAAGTAAAACCTAATGTTTTTTTTATAATAACATAACATAACATCACGCCTTTTATCCCCGAAGAGGTAGGCAGAGGTGCACATTATGACACTGTACAATGTAACACCCACTTTTCACTATTTATGTTATGAGTCCCATGTAATAGGGGGTGAGCCTATTGCCAAATACCGGGCACAATTCCAGACTCCGTGCTACTACTGAGAATTTTGTAAAAACCCAGTAATACTTTGCCCGACACGGGAATCGAACCCGAGACCCCTTGCCCGGCAATCGCACTTGCGACTACTCGGCCAACGAGGCAGTTTTTTATAATATTACAGATTAATTCTCCACTGACTCTAGGTCCGTGCCCTTGTCATACATTTTTTTATTATAAGTAATACATCTAGTCAATTTTTATAAAGTAAAAAGGGAACCTAGTTACACACTACAATTAACTACATCTATAATCATTACTAAAAGTATAAATTACATAATAATTAGGCATTATTTATTTATTTCTATTTCGAAGGCTCTATGAAATCAGCCCACCGACAAGATGGGCATGGATAAGCATAGTGTTCAAATCAACATTACACCACAAAAACGTACCTACGAATAAATACTTATTTTCCAGCAAATGAACTTTGGCTCACTCTCCCTCACTATGGCTGGCTTTAATATTGCGCTGACCGCATGCTGACTGTCAGCGCTGACAGCCGAGGTGTATGAACTTAGCGGCCAGCGCTGACCACCATGCGCTGATAGCTACTTCCACGTCATTTAAAAACGCTTCCTAGAAGTTCATATATCCCGTCCCATCAGCGCTGACGGTGCGCATGTCGTTAACGTCAGCCTAAACCAGCCTAAGTCTGTTAGGTATTCATGTAAAATAATATTGTAAACAACTTCATGTGGTCATTAGGTCTAATGAAATATTTAAATAAGTTATAGGTCAACACTTTCTACAACACAGTGCATGATAACGAAAATGTAATTACTCCGTCAGTTAGATAATGAAATAATATTAGTAGACACGTATTTTTTTGTTTTCTCGTCTAAAAAAACAATACTTAAATGAAACAGAGTTAAGTTTAGGTGGTGGTTACGTCACCCTATAAAATGTAGTAAATCATGACGTCACACGATATTTTAAATCAATATAAGTAATTAACGTGGAAAGTATTTTATTTTGTAAGATAAGAAAAAAAAAATCGTGTCGAATATTTTAAAATAATCTGCCAGACGGACATTAAAATAAAATTTAGTCTAGAAAGAAAGAAAGAAAGAAAGAAAGAAAGAAAGAAAAACCATTTATTTGACAATTAACACACACGATTATAAAAAATAAAAATACAGATATATAAACAAAATACTAATAATAAACTTAAAAGAAAAGACATCTGAACAAAAAAACATCACAGTGTAGCAACAAAATAAAAATACGATAAAACAGAATTTTGAATATACAAAAAAAAAATAAAAGGTGTGTAAAAGGTTATTACACACCTTTGATTGTCAAACTAGACTGACTGAAAGATTGTCAACTAAACTCTTATGTTAAATACCTCCTTTGTAGCGCGATAATAAAAATGGTGGTAACATAGTGAATTCGCGTTCCCGCTAAAATTCAAAATTCGAAGTCCTGCCCATTCGAAGACCGTACTCGCGCCAACAATCGCCGCCGAAACGTGGAGTGAGCGTGTTTGAAAACGCTCCGCGTTCCCGCCAATTTTCTCAGTTTTTGATTTTGTTGTGGAAACATTCAGCCCTAATCTATTACAACTACCCTATTATTGTAATGGTATATTTACTTAATTAGGATTTGTGGCACTACCTTCCAATTTACCGGTTCCATTTAGTTATATAATTGTGATATGAACAAACCAAGAATTTTGGAAATCGGTTCACAAAATGGCGGAGTAATCGGTGAACAAACAATCATCCGAACATAGGACCTCCTCCTTTTTTGAAGTCGTTAATACAACATAGTTCCTAGAAGTGTATGATGCATATGAACCTGTCATATTAAAATTTTATTTCTAGTTTTATCGATGACTAACAAACAGGTCACATGCGTTATGCAATATTGTGATAACTTATTTTAAACTCTTTAGGGGACAGAGAGTATAGTTCCCTAAGATCGGAAAAGGAGGGGCCTCCGACCAGGCGAGGTGATCGTGGCTGGCGGGCTTTCTGCCCAACAGTTGTTGTTGGAATTTTTTATCCGTGTTAATTTGCATGTAAACTTTGCATGTACGATGTAAGATTTTTGTGACGTCATCCATTGACATGTACCATGTGTCGCCACAACTCAAAGGCCAGGCTTTTCTAAATCTGTTGTACCTCCCCAATATTAGTTTATCCAGAGAAAAGAGATGTAAGAAGCGAAGGCGTTCCATAGTCTATGTCTACCACCATGGGAGACAGGCGTGAGGTAATGTATGTCTGTAAAAAGTATAAAGAAATAATAATAATAAGTATAAAGAAAAGTAAAAACTGAAAATGAAATAAATAACTATTATTGGTCATACGTACTTATAGCTTACTCACCCACTGATACGTTAGAAGTCGGTGCCACAAACCCATAACAAAATACAAAGAAGTTAATGGTTCTACCTCCTCCTTTTTTTTAAGTCGGTTAAAAATAGATGTATTCCAGAGGAAATTACATTTTAACAAATATTACTTTTCTGCAGTAAATCCTGGCAAAACGCATTGAAAACTCGTGGAATAAAAAGGTGGAATAAAAAAAATCATTTTTGTCTATTAATCCCTGAAAACCCGAAGTTTGTATAATCTTAGTTTTAGGGGTTTTATGCACCTATGTTACTTTATGGACACCACATAAGACATTCAATATTTAATTTCGATAACCTTAAAATAATATTAAAACTAAAATGTCTGAACTTGAGCAGTTTATAGAAGTTTTTTGTGTTTTTATAATAGCTATCGTGAGACATACTAAATTAACTAAAAATCGCGGGTTACTCACGTGAATATATTGAGAAAAGCGCTACTAGTTTCGAACCCTAGGGGTTCTTCCTCATAAGCAGCGTGCGCGGTCACGGCGCGGGAGTCGGCGATTTCGCGTAGTCTACTGCTACGCGACATCGCCGCGCCCAGGCAAAGGGGTCTCGGGTTCGATTCCCGGGTGGGGCAAAGTATTACAAGGTTTTTAAAAAAATCTCAGTATTAGCACGGAGTATGAGTATATGGCAATAGGCTCACCCCCTATTACATGGGAGTCATAACAGAAATAGTGAAAAGTTGGTGTTACATTGTACAGTAGTACCTCTATAGTGTGCACCTCTGCCTACCCCTTCAGGGATAAATGGCGTGGTGTTATGTTATGTTATATAATTTAATATGTATGTATCTATTACTAGTCTTTGTAAATAACTTTAGTCATTTAACATGGCGTCTTATTATTTATTTTTGATCTCACACAGACAGTAATCATTGAAGCCTTAGTACGAGTTTGTTTTCATTGTCATCATCAACCGCCTATAAATGTCCACTGCTGAGCAAAGCCTCTTCTCACACGGAGAAGGTTTGAGCATCACCACGCTTGCTCAATGCGGGTTGGCGACTTATAATTGGGTTGATGACAGGGTATGAAAATTAAAAATCGAATTAGTCCGTAAGTTAGGTAATGACAAAATAGTAGACACGTATTTATTTTTTTATTTTGTCGTATAATAAAATAATACTTAGATAAAACGAATCAAAGTTTAGGAGTGGGGGCTAATCATTTCTACGTATAAAATGTACATAGAAGTGACGTCGCGCGACATTTCAAATCAATATAGAGTCGAAAGTATTCGTTTCTGTAAGAAAAAAAACGTGTCTAATAATTTAAAATAATCTACCAGGCGACTATTAAAATAAAAAATAGGGATCTACCCTATTAGAATGTACAGTTCTAGGTTTCCTCACGATGTTTTCCTTCACCGTTTGTCAGTAGTGTCTAAATAATCTTAGGAAGTACATATAACTCGGAAAAAGTCACATTGGTACGTGGCGTTGACAGGTTTCAAACCCCTCTCGGTTCTCATGCATGAGGGCGCCCTCACGCCACCTCCAGGCCACCACGACTATAGACTGCGCTCTGATTAGTTGGTTCGTTGAAGCCGGCCAATTACAGCGCTGAACGCCATTTTGTTTCAATGACTTAAAACGTATAACAAAATTGTACTAGGCCCTCTGCTATTTTAACCTTAAAATGAAATAAGTGTATGAAGACAAAGTAATTTGTTCTTTATTCTAACGTCGGACGTCACATATTACAGTTCTTTGTATTGTATTTAATTGAAATGCAACTTAACAAATATTTTTAAAATGGTGTTTATTATATTTATGTTATTTTTGTTTTGTGGTGAGTGTAGTAACAAATTCCGTTTATATTAATAAACTAAGATATTTTGTGTTTTTAACCGACTTCAATCTGATACTTATCTATACTAATATTATAAAGCTGATTTTATTATATAAAGCGGAAGAATTTGTTTGTTTGAACGCGCTAATCTCCGTAACTACAAGTCTGATTTGAATAATTCTTTTTGTGTTGGATAACGCATTTATCGAGGATGGCTACAGGCTATAAAACATCACGCTACGACCAATAGGAGCTGAGCAGAGTGTCCAAGTCGTTCCAAAGTGTAGTTTCCTACGGAAAAAAGCGAGCAAGAAACTTCATAGGTTACTCTATTTCAATCAGGTTCATAATAGATTTATACCTACATACGTAGGTGTATGAGAAGGTCCTAATCTTATTTTATTTGTTACAGGTCCCGTATATCCCCTAACTGCCCACAAGCCACAAGCAGACACATTCCTAGATTCGTTGGCGCACAAACTGAAGCTGGAAAAGTGGGAGAAAGATGAAGCGCCGTGTTTGGAAAGTGCTTTAAATGTTTTGGAAAACGTGAAGAATCACACTTTGTGGGCGACATGGAGTAAGTTAAATATTTCTTTAATTTAATATTTTGAAAAAATATATGTAAACAGTAGTACCCCACCGGTAACGGGGGAATTCAAGTTGCCTGGGCTCCATAGAGGAGAATTTCCGAACAAGAAGTTCCGCTTTCTGCACCAGGCCCTTGTACCAACCTCAAATCCACCATCTAACGCTAGAATCGTTGAGTTGAAAAATCATTTTAATCATTAAAATCTACATTTAGTGCAATATCATGTTCTGAACATACCATGTGCCTACGCGTTGCTTAATTGCCGTTCACGAGGCCCTCTTACTGACTAAAAACCACCCCGTTCCTACTTCTGCACTTCGAGCCGAAGCCCCGGCAACCCTTTAAGTCCTTCACGGCTCGTTTTTTTTTATTCGTTTAACTTTATGCAACAAGAGTACATAGGCGGGCTTAATGCCATGGGCATTCTTACTAGCCAAGCTCCTTCATGTACGAGCCGTGAAGGCCCTAGAATTTATTGATCCAAGAATCGAACAAAGTTCATAATTTTATTATTATTAGGCATGTATCATTTAACCGGAAGCCCAATCTCCCAAATTCCTAATCCCTAAAAGGCCGGTAACGTACTTGTAACGCCTCTGATGTTTCGGGTGTCCATGGGCGACGCCGATTGCTTACGATCAGGTGATCCTTCTGCTCGTTTACCGGCTCATCCCATGAAAAAACCAAAAAGCAATTTACTAACTATTATTAACTATATTATATACATTAACAAAATAATAAATATCTTGTTGGTAGTGAAAAAAATCTTTGTTAAAGTAATTAAAATTTATAATCATATTATTATAATAATAAAAATAAAAATTAAAATGTATTATAATATAATAATCAAATTGTTACGATTATAAATTTTAATTATCATTATGATGATTATTTAATCAGTTACTTATTCAAAGAGGAGTGGGAACGTATTTTTTATTTCGATTGTGTATTAACCTACCTTACTTGTTAATGTCAAATAACACGTTAATATGCCAAAAGATTTCTAGATTCTTCTTTAAGCAGTGATTTCATGATTTGTTCAAGTTGAAAAGATTTCGTACTGCTACTATTGCCGTCTCTGTTAGATGTATCATTAGTTCGGTTTTTACAAAATCAGTAAAGAATGTTGACTCATGTATACCACATAGGAACTGGGGGCTTACTCTTGAATCTAATTCCGATCGATCGACATTGGTATTGTGAAATTTCGTACTCTCGAGATGCAACACTAGCACCCATTGCATCCGTATTGCGTGGATATTGAATGAACTAAATGGCATTGAGTTTGGCTTTATATTCCGTACTCTCAATGCTATTTCAACAGCTACGAAAGGGGTTATATAGTTTTGACATTGAATCATTATTGAGATTGTATTGGATTGAAATTGCATTGACATTGAGATTGGTTTCAAGAGTAAGCGCCCTGTGCTTCAATGTCGGGGGGTCGAGTTTTAACGGTTGGCCCGTTTACAAAACTCACTAGATTTTTAATTTTATGTTTTGATTTTTGTAATGCGCACTGAATTTTAAAGTTAAAACTTTGTAAATAAAAATAAACGAAGGTAATTATGATTATATGTGATTAGGTAACTTCAAACGTAGTGTTAACAATCTACAATCACATACTAATTACATTAAGGGTATTTTGAATATACAGCATGGAACTATAGGGTAGACGGCATCACACTAGTCAAAATATTATATTCTCATTTCTCCCTTTAATTCAAGTTCATCAACAGCCCATAAATGCCCACTGCTAAGCAAAGCCTCTTCTCACACAGAGAAGGCATTAATCACCACGCTTGCTCAATGCGGGTTGGCGATTTCATACTTATAATTAGAAATTATCAAGTCCAGGTTTCCTCACGACGTTTTTCCTTCACCGTTTGTCAGTTGTGTCTAAATAATCTTAGAAAGTACATATAACTCTGAAAAAGTTACATTGGTACTTACTGTTGGTAGGTTTTGAACCCGCACCCTCATGCATGAGAAGCGGGCGTCTTAAACCGGGCCACCACGACATTAAGTACCACGTAATTCAAGTAATGCATCATTATTTTCCAGTCTGGAATGCCAACGCCCTTCCTACAGGCAATCTGTATGGATCCTTCAGACACTACGCAAGTTACGACCAATGTCTAAAACCACCATGGTTGCACACCCATCCACAATTGAAAACGAAGTACTGCTTCACTGATTTCCTACTTTCTGACGAGAGCGATGTCAAAACAGTTGCAGATTATGACCCTATGAGGTCAACTATGGAATTTATTAATGTAAGTACTTTTTTGGGACCGCGAAATCTTTAAAAGATGCCAAAATTAGTCGCATTCACTCGCGCAAAGCTATTTTTATGGCATAAAACGAGCAGACGGATCACCTGATGGTAAGCAATCGGCGTCGCCCATGAACACCTGGAACACCAGAGGCGTTACAAGTGCGTTACCGGCCTTTTGGGGATGAGGAGTTTGAGGATCGTTGAGGATTCGGGGATTGGGTAGATTGGGGATGGGGAGGGTAATTGGGCCTCCGGTAACCTCATTCAGACGACGAAACACAACGCAAGCGTTGCTTCACGTCGGTTTTCTGTGAGGCCGTGGTATCACTTCGGTCGAGCCGGCCCATTCGTGCCGAAGCATGGCTCTCCCACACATAAAATCATTTGTATTATTCATTTCAGTCACCATCTTTATCTGGTTTACCTGTGAACCATCTCATGTGGGGCATATGTATCCCGGCGGTCTGCTCATCTACAGCGGTCTCTAAATTGACCAAAGTGATGTACGAGTCAGCTACTTTAAGCAGCATAGCGTCTGACGTCACAGTGAAACACTGCCAGGAGGCTGGGGAGAGCCCGCCCTACTCTACTGGGTTTTATATCTTCATGTAAGTTTCATGCAGTAGAACACTCGTTTTAGCCTGCGAAAGGATAGGTACGTAGACTATTTTTTGCCAGAGGCCTTAGTATGAGTTTGATTTACGTTTAAAGTATTCGAAACGAGTACGCGTTTGGCACTCTTATTGGCCGGCGCCAATGAAGCAACCAATCACAGCGCCGAACGCGTACTCGTTACGATTACTTTAAACGTAAGACAAACTCGTACTAAGGCCTCAGGTATTCCATAATACTACCTTGTTTTTTTCTTACAGATCCTTAGTATTGTCATTATTGGCAACCGCTATTGCTTCTACCTACTATCGAAAACATGTGCCGATTGAAGAACAGTCCTCGAACAACTTAAGTAAGACATTCTTATATATATATATTTTTTTAAGAAAATTGATTCAGTAGATAAGGCATCAGGTACCAGATCGGTAAGATGACTTACTTTGCAATTAACATCACATAATTATTATAGTTATCGAGAAATTTGAAATCTAAAAATTCAACGATACTGTCCAACCTTAGGGTTTTTGTTTAGAATCATTATAATATGTCCATAATTATGTTATAGGGTAGATGCCAAATTTTTATCTTAATGTTCGTCTGGTAGATTATTTTAAACCATTAGACACGTATTTTTTATTTTCTTACAGAAACGAATATTTTCGAAGATATACTGATTTGAAATGTGGCGTGACGTCACTTCTATGTACATTTTATACTTAGAAATGACGTTTTAGCCCCCACTCCTAAACTCTGATTCGTTATATTTAAGTATCATTTTATTATACGACAAAATATTTTTTCATTATCTAACTGACGGACTAATTACATTTTTAATTTTCATACCCTGTCATCATCCCTATTGTTATAGAGTTTGCAATTTTAATAAAAATGAATCTTATTTTCTAGTAAAGATAATAACGAAATCTTTCTGCATCAACAAGAATCAAGAAGACTTGACAAAAGTCAATAAGGATGAAATTCACGTGTTAAACGGCATCAGATTTCTTACTTCAGCTTTGGTTATAGCTATACATGTAGTGTTCTACATGTTAGTATCTGGTGTAAGCAATTCACTCGATCTTGATGCGGTGAGTCCTTAAAAATATGTTTTTCATTATTTTACCCACTTTATTTAAATATTTGAGGTTGTCAACTATATCAAATTATACTACAATTTATTTTTTCTGTAACTTTGATGGTGTTCTCAGTATAGTACAGTTGGTATGACATAATTTATCTTCGGAGATTCAGGGGTTGGTGAGTTTGGGTAATTTTGCCTCTGGTATTGTCAATCACACACAAGTGTTGTTTCACTGCCTCGTTGGTCGAGTGGTCGCATGTGGGCAAGTGCGACTGCCGGGCAAGGGGTCTCGGGTTCGATTCCCGGGTCGGGCAAAATCTCAGTAATAGCACGGAGTCTGGAAAAGTGCCCAGTATATGGCAATAGGCTCACCCCCTATTACATGGGCCTCATAACATAAACAGTGAAAAGTGGGTGTTACATTGTACAGTGGCATTAAGTAGCGTAATGTGCACCTCTACCCATCCCTTCGGAGATAAAAGCGTAATGTTATAATGGTATGTAATGTTGTTTCACGTCGGATCTCTGTGAGTGTGCAGCCGTGGTATCCTCGGGTAAAGCCGGCCCATTCGTGCCGAAACACGACTCTCCTAAACTTACTTTGGTCATCAGCAGACGAAATACGTGCATTTCTTAATACCCTAAGAGTGAAATTTACTATTTCCCGTGCTTACATATCTTATGGATAACAAACATTTTATTGATGCTTCTTTATGTCCTAATTTCAGCTGTTTGAAGACATACCGAGGTACAATTCTAGCCCTTATAATAAAAATCCATTTGCATTTTCCAGTTTATGGATGGCATTGGTGGGTTACTTCTTCATTTCGATCTCTTTGTCGACACGTTCTTCACTATGTCTGGTCTACTACATATTAAGGGTCTACTGAAAAGACGACAGACTCTGCTAGGCGTACTTTGGAAACGTTACATAAGGTAGGCAATAGACCATGATGTGAGGAATTCATTACCCAATAGCTCATTGTACTTTGCTTTTAACCTCGTCATTTTTTTTTTACCACATTAGGATTTTCTCCTGTGTCGTGGGTGCGTTTACAAACATACAAGTTCACATACACATGACACCCAGACCCGGAACAACAATTTGTGGATCACACAAAGTGTTGTTCCGTGCGGGTATCGAAACCGCGACAGGGTGCACGGCAGCCGGCCCAGCCACCGCGCCAACCGCGTGGTCAATGTTACCACCATTTTTTCTAAATTTCGAGTTTTTAATAAGGCCTTTAATAATGAAATAGACAATGATAAAGCATTTTATGTTGCAGGTTAATAGGACCGTTTGCGCTAATTGTCTTCTATTTAATATCTGTATCCAAGCACTTCAGTCCTGGCCCCGCCTGGATTGGAGTAGAGGAGACTGATGTTTGCGAAAAATATTGGCTAAAAAGTTTACTCATGATGAATTCAGACGTCAGACACATTGTGAGTACGACTTTGTGTTTTTGAAACACTTAATACGAAAAAGTTATCCTATTTTTATGCCACCAATTATAGACCTAATAGGGATGATGACAGGGTATGAAAATTAAAAATACATATAAGTAGTCCGTCAGATAGGTAATGAAAAAATATTGAAACTTGATTGAAAAAGAATAACCTATGGAGTTTCTTGCTCGTTCTTCTCCATAGGAATCTACACCTTGGAATGAGCAAATAGCTTTACTTGTTAATTTTCTTTATTGACGTTCAAAAGTGCCTCTATGGTCTAATTGAAATAAATGGTTTTGACTTTGACTTTGACTATTAGACACGTATTTTAAAACGTTATTTCTACGTATAAAATGTACACAGAAGTGACGTCACAGGACATTTTGAATCAATATATCGTCGAAATTATTCCTTTCTGTAAAAAAAAAATATGTGTAAAATGTTTTAAAATAATCTACCAGACGGACATTAAAATAAAAATTAGTTATCTACCCTATTATATTCTACTTTCCGTAGGATATCATTATCTTTACAAAATCCATGTGGATCTTCCTTCTTATCAGACAGACAGATTCAGATTCCTTTTTTAATGGGATAAGCCGGGAACGAGCAGACGGGTCACTTGATGGTAAGCGCCAGCGTCGCCCATGAACAACTTAAATACCAAAGGCCTTACAAGTGCATTGCTGGCTTTTTTGGGATTAGGATTTTGAGGATTGTTGGGGATTCAAGGATTGGGGAGATTTTGGAAGTGGGAGGGCAATTGAGCCTCCGGTAACCTCACCCACACGACGAAACACAACGCAAGCGTTGTTTCACGTCAGTTTCTGTGAGGCCGTGGTATCACTTCAGTTATCCTTATACATGAGAACTTAATGGGTAACCGGGGCTCCGGCTCGACGTGCAGGAGAAGGAACGGGCTGGTTTTTCGTCAGTAAGAGTCTGACACTCCCTCCCGCATCACCCAGGCGGGAGAAGTCATTCGATGGTTTTCCCCCTTAAAAAAAATAAATATATTAATTTGTGTACTACGACAATAAAGAGTATTCTAATCTTTCCAGTGCCATACAGTTACGTGGTACTTACCCTGTGACTACCAGTTGACAATCCTGGGCACTCTCATTTTCCTCGTCTATCAGAGGAACAGGAGTTTTGGATTCATCTCTTACGGAATTGTTGCAGTCTTCTCCATGATCATTCCTGGTCTGCTGACCCACTTGTATCAATTTCCTGGTGTCCTTTTCTCGGAATACGGGTAAGATGGTAACAATTTTAATAGATTTATAGTAATTTGTTGATTATCCCAAATAGTGACTAAAATAAAATATTTGAACTTGCCTTGAAGATGCCTTGAAGTAAGATTGGTGCGTTCCTTTTCCTTACCAAAATTAGACATAGCAAGCTTGAAGGTTATTATTGCTCTTGAATTTTTCGGAGGATAAAAATACTTGATCTTATTAATAACATAACATAACATAACATCATGCCTTTTACCCCGAAGGGGTAGGCAGAGGTGCACATTATGCCACTGTACAAAGTAACACCCACTTTTCACTATTTATGTCATGAGTCCCATGTAATAGGGGGTGAGCCTATTGCCATGTACCGGCCACAATGCCAGACTCCGTGCTACTACTGAGATTTTTTTTAAATCCAGTAATACTTTGTCCGACTCGGGAATCGGTCCCGAGACTTCTTATCCGGCAGTCGCACTTACCACCACTCGGCCAACGACGCAGTCTTATTAATGTTATGATTAAATGCATTTCTTTTAGGAAATATGTAATCCGCTATCGTGAAACTTGGGAGATCAGCTTGATCTACACGCCGTCCTACAGCCGCGCTAGTACGTACCTCGTGGGTGCCGCCATGGGCTACCTCATGCATGTCTACAAACCTGATGATTATAGGAAATCTATTCCAAAAGTGAGTCTTATTGAAAATTTCTCTATCTGCTTTGCCTGACTTCTTTTAATCATTCGATACTTGAAGCAAACACCAGCAATTTCTTAGAGGAGTTTGCCTCTTATTAAATGGGATTTGTACGAAAAATGCTTCGCCAACACTATTGTTACTGTTAATATCGTTAATGGATAGACTTAGAAAAGACCGAATAATATAAATAAACTGTAAATAATAAAGAAATAAGCTAATAGAAAACCGACGTGTAGCAACGCTTGCGTTGTGTTTCGTCGTGTGGGTGAGGTTACTGGAGGCCCAATTAGCCTACCCTTCCTCAATCTCCCCAATCCCTGAATCCCCAACGATCATCAAACTCCTAATCCCCAAAAGGTCGGTAACGCACTTGTAACGCCTCTGGTGTTCCAGGTGTCGATGGGCGACGCCTATTGCTTATCATCAGGTAATGCGTATGCTCGTTTACTGGCTTATGCCATAAAAAAATATAAAAAAAATTACAAAAATATTTTTGTATGGAGAACACTGCAATTTTTTTTAAGATACACGAGATGGTAAGCAATCGGCGTCGCCCATGGATACCCCGAACACCAATAGTGTTAGAAGTCCGATACCAGCCTTTTAGGGAACGGTAACCTCACTCACACGACGAAACACAACGCAAGCGTTGTTTCACGTCGGTTTTCTGCTCGGCCGTGGCATCACTCCGGTCGAGCCGGCCCATTCGTGCCGAAGCATGACTCTCCTACACTTTAATTTAGCACGATTCACTTTAGTAATTCATTACTTCTTCCAGATATGGTCCATAAGTGGTATAGCTGTGAGTTTAATCACAATGGTGGCCACGATGTCTCTCGGATTTGTTCTCAAACAAAGAGGACGGTACCCAATAGAAGCTGTCGTCGTCGCAGCTACCAATAGAATCTTCTGGGCTGCAGCCATCTGCTGCATTATAGGGATGTGTGAATATGGAACTGTTCGTAAGTATTGTGATATTATATTTATAACTAGCAGCCCGTCCCGGCTTCGCACGGGGTAGACAATTATTTATTTTTGGAAATTTGGATTGTTGTTGTGACATAACTACAATAGTTGGACATATGCTACCTCGGAGTTTTTTGTAGACATTATGATTTTCTTCAATATTGTTGTACATTATTTTGTTCTATCGCTAATAGTTTCGGCAGCGCATTCGACGAAAGACATTTTAAGACTCATTTTTCTACACCTTCGGTTACATTGTTCAAATTTTAACAAGGACCCCTAATTTTTTAATTTTTTTCAAAATGAAATGTAGCCTATGTTATATTGGAAGAATGTAGCATTCTATTGGTGAAAGAATTTTTTAAATCGGCCCAGTACTTTTTGAGCCTATTCATTACAAACATACAAACATACAAAAATAGATACAAATCTTTCCTCTTTATAATATTAGTATAGATATAGTATATATAGTGTATAATAATATAGTATATAGTATAGATGACTCAGACGGTAACCTTCAGTCCTTACAATTAAGTGAAAATAAGGTCCAACTAATAAAGTGATAAATAAATTCAAATAACAAAATGTAATTGTATTTGTAAATGCCTCGATTCCCGGGACGGGCAAAGTATCACTGAGTATTTAAAAAAATCTCAGTAGCAGCACGGAGTCTGGAATTGTGCCCGGTATAGGTTTGGCAATAGGCTCACCCTCTACTATTACATGGAACTCATAACATAAAAAGTGAAAAGTTGGTGTTACATTGTACAGTGGCATTTCAAATCAAATCAAATATCTTTATTGCTGAACACAGTACATTTTGATGCATTTCAAGATGATATATGAATGCGCAGTTCATCATGTTCCACCAATCAAGGCATGCAACTATTATTCGTAAATTACAATTGACGAGTTCCAGATTACACCAATTTTATTAGTTATGAGTTCAGTCAACACTTTACAAGTTATTACTAAAGCACAACAACATACTTAAAAATTAATAAAGAAAAATTCAAATATTAAATAGGTAAGTCATAATTATACAATATTAATCAATGTCAAGAAGTAAAAGTACAATAAAATTAACAATATGTCAATATTTCTGTAGTCATATTATGACGTTTGTTAAATATTCTTTTATCGAATAGTATGCCTTTTTTATTAGAAATTTATTCAGTTCTACTTTAAACACATTGATTTCCCTGGTTTCGAGTAAATGTTTAGGTAGTCTGTTATATATCGATGGTGCCATCCCTAAAAAGCTCTTGTGGAAGATTGCTTTCTTGTGTTGTCTATAACGGATTTTATTTTTGTTTCGCACGCTTTTTAATGTTTCAAATAGTCTAGGGTTCCCTTTCACAAACATTGCTACCTCATATATGTACAGACATGGTAATGTTAATATACGTAATTTTTCAAAATACGGTTTACAACTGTCTGTTGTTTGAATACCGCATATTGCCCTAACACATCTCTTTTGTGCTTTAAATACTATGTCTGTATTCGAGGAACTACCCCAAAAAATAATACCATATCGTAATATCGATGTCACACATGCATGATACGCCGTGATGACAATACTCTGGTTTACTTCTTTTGCGAGTTTGTATAGGGCGTATGACTGCTTATTCAGTCGCTTACATATGGTATTTGTGTGAGTTTGCCATGACATGTCTCTGTCTAGTTCTATTCCTAGGAATTTCGTGGATACTGTTTCTGCAATTATTTTGTCTTTGTATCTAATGTCAAGTTTATTGTGATTAGTTTTTTGTTCAAATGTCATTATTTTAGTTTTGTCAATATTTATTTTTAAATTATTTTTGGTCATCCATTCTATTAATGATCCTAAGCATTGATTTATCTCTGTTTCAAGTGTTAAGTCATTATTATTTGTACTGAAGACCACTGTGCTGTCATCTGCAAACAGGACCATTGGATGACTTGTTATCTTAGGCATGTCATTAATATAAATTATAAATAAGAGGGATCCCATAATGCTGCCTTGTGGGACTCCATAGTTATTTTGTCTCTGATTAGAAGTATATTTTTGATCAATTTTAGTGTTACTGTTAATTTTATTTATTTGTGTAATCTGTTTTCTATTTGATAGATATGATTTAATAAGGTTGAGGGCATTACCCCTCACTCCATATCTTTCCATTTTATTAATTAATATTGTGCGATCTACAAAATCAAACGCCTTGCTCATATCCATGAATAGAGCAGCCACCGGATTCCTCTCATCTACACTCATGATAATTTTTTCATATAATTGTAGAATTGCTAAGTTTATGTTCTTTTTTCTCCTAAAACCATATTGTTCATCTACAAAAAGACTTTTATTTTCAAAGAATGAGTATAGTATATTATAGATGACTTTTTCTAATATTTTGGAAAAAATTGGAAGCAATGCAATAGGACGATAGTTAGCTGGGTCCTGTTTGCTACCTTTTTTAAATATAGGCTTAATAACTGCCAGTTTTAGTCTGTCTGGAAATACAGCTGTTTCAAAACACAAATTAATAATATAACTAAGTACCGGTGCGACAATGGGAGATACACTTTTAATTACACTTGTTATGATCTCATCATAGCCAGAGCTGCTGGTATTATTTAATGATTTTATTAAATTTATAATGTCATTGGGAACTGTTGGAGTCAAGAATATGGAGTCATAATGCATATCAATTTTATAAGGTAAATTATTAAACTTATTTGTGTCAGATTGAGATTCAATTTCGTCAATAAAATAGTCATTTAGCGTTTGAGCTATGCTCTTTGGATCAGTTAGTACATTGGTGGCTATTTTAAGTTTTTCTATTCCTTCTATAGGAGTGTCATTTTTGCTCTTATTTATAATTTGCCACGTAGCTCTAGTTTTATTACTGGCATTGTTAATAAGCATGCATTAAGTATTGCATTAAGTGCCGTAATGTAGGTACACCACTGCCTACCCCTTCGGGGATAAAAGGCATGATGTAAATGTTAATGGTATTTGTTTTATAGCTGTAGTCTCCCAAATCCTGAACTGGCCCGTGTTCACGCCTCTTAGTCGACTTTCGTACGGCATTTACATGACACATTCCCTCGTCATACAGAGGTACAAGCTTGCACAAAGGTCGGCTCATCTCTTCGATATCTTTTGCATGGTAAGTCCTAATTACGTATCACCTTTCTTACCTCAGTTTATTACCCCAATTCTCCCAAAAACCCCTTTTCTTCTGCTTCCCTATCTTTTCTGACTTCTTAAATCTGAACTTTCTACGAGTAGCAATTTCTGCTTTACGTTGTCTAGACATTTTCTAATCCACTAACATGGTCATCACGGATGATAGATCTGTATAATTTCGTGCAATGGGTGAATTTTATTTAACAACTAGCTTTTACCCGCGGCTTCGCTCGCGTCACAAAAGGATAAAAGTAGCCTATGTGACATATACCAATACACACGGCGCCATCTATACCAATTCTTTTGTTATCCCTCGGGAATATCAAAATTTTCCGGGATAAAAAGTACCCTATTATTTATTCCGGACTTCTAACTTTACGCCTGCAAAAATTCAAAGCAATCGGTTTAGAAGTTACGGCGTGAAAGCGGAACAAACAAACAAACTCACTTTCCCATTTATAATAGTAAGGATGGACGTTGTTCAAAAACCCATTTGGTTCCATGACTGATTTTAGTCTGACGCTGACGGCCCCACCGTCAGTTCCGATGGCCGAGATATGTGAACTTCTAGAAATCGTTTTTGTATGACGCGTGATATGTGCGCGCAAGGTTGTTAAAGCTGACAGCTACGCGGCTTTGTAAAGTACCTACAGTACTTTTTTGTCTGTATATTATGGTAATCAGGACGATACTAAAACGAATACGATACTAAAGCTTGTGAAGGCTCGGCTTCAAAGCCTCGAGCACAGGCGTAAGGTTGCAAGTCGGTTTTCTACCGGATACATTTCGGTGAGTGTGCGGGGGAATTGCACAACTTGATTCCTCCTAGTCCTTACCATCATCGTACCACAAGACAATCGGCGAAGCGTCACCGATTCATGGTAGATGTTCCGCCCACACGCACGAAGTGCTTCGCTTCAAGCTTCCTTGTGCGTACTGCTAAAGAGTGGAATTCTTTGCCAGAGTCTGTATTTCCTGAAGGGTACAACCTGGGAGTCTTCAGGGCCCGAGTGAATAGGTTGCTTATGAGACGACGTGCTACATCGTAGACCGCATCATCGCTTACCACCAGGCGAGATAGTAGTTAAACGTCGCCCCATCAAATATAAAAAAAATAATAAATAAAAACGAGCCACGATGAGCTCAGCGCTGACAAACTACACGCTGAACTATAGGCGTATGACGGTCAGCGAGAGGCTATAGTCAGCTTAAGTGGCGCAACTCCATGCGCCTACGTATTGTGAATAGCAATATCAAGTATTACTACAAGTCTCGGCTCATTAATTTCAACGGAAACATACTGACATTTCTAAATGGTTGTTCGTGAATCGACCTGATAGTGAACATTTATTGAATTTTTTTTTTATTCTTTTCTTCACATCGTGTTGTTACGACTTTCAATTTATTCAAGGAATTTTCAAATATTTCGGTTTTTATTTACAAACCAAATAGGACCCTCTTATATCTCACAAGCAGACACTAAGAACGTGTAGTATTTGTGATCATTGCATTAATTGTCATTTGTTTTGTAGGTTTACGACGTTGTAGGAACCCTGACGATATCAATAGGACTAAGTTACGCAATGTGGCTGTTGGTGGAGGCGCCACTGATCAACATCACCAACCAACTGTTCTTCAACAAGTACGTTATAGACCTAAGTTTAATTTTTCTTCAGGAAGGCGGTGGGGCGCGTGAGGGAACGAAGCTTCTCACGCCTCAGCCGTTGTCCGTAGATCGCGCGACGTTCTCCGGCCACCCTAAATGCGGGTCAGCGGATGACGAGCAAGGGTAGCTCGTCTCCTGACCAGAACCAGACCCGCGTGCGTACGGCGCGTCGCGTTTGGCGCGCGCCTCAAAGAACCCCCAGACCATCACAGATGGGGCTAGTAGGGTTGATGCCGAATACGGAGCCGCGGAAGGCCTAACAGGTTGCCGGGGGCTCCGGCTCGAAGAGCAGAAGTAGGAACGGGGTGGTTTTTAGTCAGTAAGAGTCTGACACTCACTCTCGCCTAACCCAAGGCGGGAAAAGTCAAAGGATTCTCCCACCACAAAAAGAAATCTACTAGTTTTAATATGCCAAAAAAATATCCAAATCCTTTTGACTGGTCGCTTACACAGCCGAAGGAAACTTTTAACTAATTGGAATTATTTTATACAGGTCTAATCAAAAAGAACCAAATAAAAGTCGTGATGAGAACGGAATCCAGCATCAGAATGGAGCAGCCAAGACCAACATTTCGTAAGTTTCAAATATTATGAGATACATTTTGTAGATAAATCTCTAAAACTGACGCCTTAGCTTCTTCTTTTACTGTATTAAAAACATGTTTTAACTTCGACCCAATAATAATTTAATTGAACGACTGTATGACCGACTGCACGGTTGGCGCAGTGGCTTTTAATGGCGCGGGGGAATATAATCCAATGACTTCTCCCGCCTTGGGTTAGGCAAGAAAGAGTGTCAGACCCTTACTAACTAAAAACTACCCTGTGCCTACTCCTGCACTTAGACCCGGAGCCCCACGTAAGCACGGGCCTGCGGACGGCGAGCACGGGTAATTCGCCGTCCGCAATAATTTGCGCGGTAGTCGGTTACCGCGTGTAGCGGGTTCAATTCCCGCTCAAATTGTTCTTTCAGGTCTGGGTGTCCTGTGTATGTGAACTTGTATGTTTGTAAACACACCCACGACACAGAAGAAAATCCTAGTGGGGGCAATGTTTAAAAAAAGGAACTTTAGGTTCCTACCAGAGACTTCAAAAATACAGTTGTTTAAACTGACTTTTTTTTTCAAACAGGTTAAACAAAGCAGCACTGGATACAAGTGGTGACGAGAATGGAATCAAACTTCAGAATGGAATAACTAAAACCAAAATTTTATAACATTTAGTTTTTAAATTGTAATTAAACTGTTATATAATTATAATTCTCATATTATTATGTGTTATGTTATAGTAAATGATAATAATTATAATAGAATTGACAATAATTATAGTTTAAGTTATTTAATAAAGTAAACTACCCGCCCGCGAATTCATCCTCTTAGAATATGATTCCTGTATCCCATTTTATTAAGTTGGGTTAATCATCAAACGTCTGCTCCCGCCTGGCTTAGACGAGAGGGAGCGTTAGACTCTTACCAACTAAAAACCACCCCGTTCCTTCTCCTGCGCTTCAAGCCGGAGCCCCGGTAACCCGTTAAGTCCTCCGCGGCTCCGTACCGGCATCAGCCCTATTGGGCCCCATCCGTGGTGCTCTGATGGCTCTTTGAAGCGCGCGCGGAACGCGACGCGTCGATCGCTCAAGTATGGTTCTGGTCGGGCGGCGAGCTACCTATGCTGCCATGCTCGCCGTCCGCAGGCCTGTGGTTACGGTGGCCGGAGATCGTCCCGCGATCCCCGACGCCCGGAGTGTCCTTCGCGACGGCGGGGTTGGTGGGGAGGCAGCGCTTCGCTGCCTCACGCGTCCCGCCTCCTCCTTAGCTAGCATGACTGCTTCGCAAAAGGAGGAGACGGCATCCCAGTCCCCCTCGCTCTGCATTATAGTGGTGGTACGCGAGAGGCCGCCATCGCCGATCACACGTTTTATTATATGGGAGTATATAATTGGGATGACGACAGGGTATGAAAATTAAAAATCTAATTAGTCCGTAAGTTAGGTAACTAAAAAATATTAGACACGTATTTTTTTATTTTGTCGTATAATAAAACAATACTTAGATAAAACGAATCAAAGTTTAGGAGTGGGGCTAAAACGTCATTTCTACGTATAAAATGTACATAGAAGTGACGTCACGCGACATTTCAAATCAATATATCGTCGAAAGTATTCGTTTCTGTAAGAAAATAAAAAATACGTGTCTAATGATTTAAAATAATCTACCAGACGGACATTAAAATAAAAATTAGTCGTCTACCCTATTGGGATAAGAAGTCCTATCACCTAAGTCAGAGTATGGGACCCTGCCTTTTCATCGAAATCCGTTCAGTTCCGTGATTGACGGACACACACCCAAGAAACTTTCAAGTGTGTGGTGTGTGGGATGATCAATACATTTATTTTCATTGTAGAGTGGCATAATGTGCACCTCTGCTTACCCTGCTTGTTATATGTTGATAGGTATGTATTATAAAAAAATAGGTGGCCGTACACATTAACATTTTTTTATTTAAATAAAAAGCGTGTTTTTATATTAAGCTTGTATCAACGACATAATATATCATTTGTACACTACCTTTAATAAAGGTAAAATTTATATAGTAGCCAAAACGATAAATTACTAAATAAAGCTCTCTCTAACAAAATTTAGGAATGAACCCAGACGGCCGGAATTTGGGGGTTGCCTAACCAAAACAATTAGTGGAATCAAACTGGATCCCTAGTTTCGGTCTAGTGGCGCCCTCTACGCGCCATTGGTTACTTAACGACCCGATTAAATGTTCTGGCGACATCTACGGATACTGTAGAATTACTTATAATCTGGAGTATAGATAATTATTGGGTATTAAAACGTATTTAATTCTATAAATTCACGATTCACTGGATAACCGGCTGTCGCGCAACGTGTAGCGGGTTCGATTCCCGCGCGAGCAACTCTTTGTAACATAACATAACATCACGCCTTTTATTCCCGAAAGGGTAGGCAGATGTGCACATTGCGGCACTTAATGCCACTGTACAATGCAACACCCACTTTTCACTATGGCTGTGGTACAAGTTTCAGGTACTTACATGACATGTTCTAGCAATAATGTAGAATTAGGACATATAAACTGTAATTTTTCTGTATATTTTTTTAAGCCTGCCTTGTTGGCCGAGTGGTCGCAAATGCGACTGCCGGGCAAGGGATCTCGGGTTCGATTCCTGGGTCGGGCAAAGTATTACTGGGAATTTTCAAAAATCTCAGTGGTAGCACGGAGCCTGGAATTGTGCCCGGTATATGGCAATAGGCTCACCCCCTATTATATGGGGCTCATAACATAAATAGTAAAAAGTGGGTGTTACATTGTGCAGTGGCATTAAGTGTCGTAATGTGCACCTCTGCCTACTATCGGGGATAAAAAGGCGTGATGTTATGTTATGTATTTTTTTAAGAGATTTTAAGAGAATAATGGTATTAGGTTAGGTATATACAGCTCAGTTTACAAAAATCTAGTATTAAATACCTACCTAGTTACCTAGAGAGGGTAGTATACCTAAGTTACCTACTTAGAGATTTCCAAGATGCGCTGCTGAGTAATTAGCCAACTGATGGATTCTGAATTTTTAAGCTTCGAGCTACTAACATTTTTTGATGTATTACGTGTTATAGCAATAGGGTAGATGCCTAATTTTTATTTTAACTCGTCGAGTACCGCCATTATAGACACAATTATAGAACAATAGGTTGCGGTCACCAGTGTCCGCTTGGTGTTTGACAGTTTAATGTCCGTCTGGTAGATTATTTTAAACCATTAGGCACGTATTTTTTATTTTCTTACAGAAACAAATACTTTCGCCGATATATTGATTTGAAATGTCGCTGGACGTCACTTCTATGTACATTTTATACGTAGAAATGACGTTTTAGCCCCCACTCCTAAACTTTGATTCGTTTTATCTAAGTATTGTTTTATTATACGACAAAATAAAAAAATACGTGTCTAATACAATTTTTCGTTACCTAACTTACGTACTAATTAGATTTCTATATTTCATACCCTGTCATCATCCTAATTGGCTACTTGCCTTAATCAAATCAATAAAATAAAATATTAAAAAGTAATCATACTTCCATTAATTGATTTTATG